CTGTATTGTACTTGTGTTCGGAGTTCTTCATCTGTTTGACGACATCATAGTTGGAGAGATAGTCGCTCTCATCGGGTTCGGCGTCAATCAAACCGCTCACTTCATGGTTGCGCTGTTCATAATTTTCGTCCGGATTCACAACTGGTTTTCGCGGTCTTCGCCTGTCTTTGTGATACCGATGGCCCTCTCGTCCGGCTCTTTGGTTTCCATCTCTTCGCTGATCATCTCTTTGTTGTTCTCTTTGATTATTTTCATACGACTTCCTCTCCGCGTCGTATTCGTCGGCATTTCCGTAATCACTGCCCCCTCTGTCGTACTCTTTAGTCCTGTCGTCATCGGCTGTCTGTGCGGCCAAAGACTCGGAATACGTGGGATTCAGTTCTATTCGGTCACCGAAATTAGTTCCTTCGTTGATGTCCTTCATATCGAGCTCTTCGCTGTTCTCGATATTTTGATCTTCTCTTTCATTGGGAGACGAGTACTCCTTCTCACTGTTTGCCTCGAAATTTCTCAAATTGTCCAGAAATTTGTCAAATCTCTTCGTCTCATCGATCGCTTCTGTGCCAAAGTCTTTGACGTCATCTGAGATACTCTTTTGCATCCTGTCGTCCTGTTCCGCGTCATAAAACTCTTCATTATTTGGCTCAACTCGTGGCTCATTATCATTATTGGGAGGATTTCTATCCATCTGTTTGTGATCTTTTCGTTGAAAATCATGCATTTCTTCGTGAGGGTCGACGCGATCGTTGGGATCGTCTTCGTTGTAATAGGGCTCATATGTGTCGGGCATAAACTCCTTCTTCATCAGATTCATGGCGTCCTTGTTTTTGGTCGGCTCGTGGTTTGACTCGTCCTGAGGGTAGAAGTAAACCCTTTCGATAGCTTTATATAACTTTTTAGGCTTTCCCTCGGGTTGTCTCTGGTCTGACTGTTCATTGTATTGGGGAATCGGGTCGTAGTAATAGTCGGGCTCTTCACTGGCCATACGTCTGTCCCCTCCATCCTGTCTGTATGGAGGCCTGGCGTTTGGGACAACACGTTCAGAGTCCTCGTCGTAGGCGTGCAGCTGGACGTGTGGGTAATTGGGGGCGCCTTCAAAGTAGGGAACATCCGGGTTATGATAGGGCTGTGCCGACAGTACAGGTATTATGACTTCATCCCGATCGTTGGCCGCCGACTCCCGATCAGTATTTTTGTATTGAAAGTTCTTTTGAATATTGTTTAATGGCTTGAGAACTGCTGTCCAAACCATCAGTTGTAATGACATTAACAACAAACCGATAGATAATAAGTTGTTTGTAAACTAGAATTGAGTCGTGAGTGAAAATTTGCAACAAATATGTAATTTGTAAAAATCAATTTTTATAAATACATAGAGATTCGCAAATTATTTATCGATCAATCATTTTAACAATTCATGTAAGAATACACTACTAATAGGTATCGAAATCAACACTTTTGCTATACATATGATCCGTGAAATATTAGCATTCACTTAAAATATTGTGAGTTTAATGTTATATATGTTAACCTCAATAATAAGTTTCGGTATCTATTTAACAAATGTCATGATATATTGTAATTTAATGTATTATTGAAATTAATTTGTTGTGAAACATCTCACTTAACAGTAATCACTTAAAAACTATTTCTAAACATTTCAAAAGAGAAAAACGTGAAAAATCTGTCGAAAAATTGGAAACCTATTTTAAAAAATTACATTTTGGTATCCAATTGAACTCAAAATAAATATTACTCCACAAATTCAATATTCATATAATTATTAAATTATTTTATATTTATTTGTGTAAACCAAACAATGTCTAATAAAATAAAACAATAACTCAGTATCAATAAGTAAATAATTTGGATACAAAACTGATGATACTAAATCTACATAGTAATTAGCAAGTATACAACAGTATATGTAAATTAAAACTTACGTAAATTAACATAATTGGCACTAATTATAATAACATTGAGATAAGCAAATAAATAAAATATTATGACTTTAATGTACACCACTTTCGAAGTACAAAACTTTTGAAAATATATCCAACATTTCTTTATATACTTTGAGCAAAAAATTTATTTTTTCTCACAAATTTTTTCATCGATATTCGCTTCAAAGCTATTTTATTGAGTAAAAATTAATCAAAACAATTTTTTTTCGCCGAGACATCAATCAAACAGTGAATTCATGTGTTACGGACGGTTGGCTTTCGGGTAAGAAAGTAATGAATGAAATTGAATACAAAATACATATGTTTTTTGTGTGTAAATTAAGGTGAGAGGAAGTGCCAATCACTAAACTCGGGAAAATAGTTTTTTGTCATTCATTTCAATCACAATTAATATCTCCTCTAATTGTAAGTGATTTATGTTTTTTGAATAAGTGTTAAGAAGTGAGAAAAACGCGGAAATAATGCAAACAAACCAAACAAAACAGACCATTGACTGAAACGATCGCTTTCTTTGTAAATCCAAATAAAATTAAAAGTTTCTATTATTATTGATTATAATCTCTCAATAAAAAAGTATTTTATTTAATTAATTGAATTATGAATTGAATAATAATATGTTATAAAAAATTAATTAAATTTTACGGTATAAAGAAAATTACATGTAATTATTTAGATATATATTTGAGATAACATTCATATAAAACTTAATTGACATTATACAAAAGTTTATAAATATATATTTAATCACATGTTATTATTTGTCAATAAATTCATTTATGATTAGGTTTAAATTGAATTTAAAGATAATATAAATTAAATTTTATAAATAACACAACAAATATACAGTAGTTGTAGGAATCAGTCAATTATCACTTAATATTTCTAATAAAATGTTATTCAAAAACCAGTTATAATAAAATCATTTACAAAATACTCGTTTATAAGTTATAACTAAAAAGAAATAAAACTGCGATCATTGATAGTAAACATATAAAAATAAGTATAAAATTATAGTAAAATTACTGATAACCGGGTAAAGCAATGTTGCCATTACTGATCAGTCGTCTCAATAGACTGACCGGCAAATGAACTATTTTGAGGTCCAATTTTGTCGGATCAAAGTCTTGAGTCTCGTAAGCGTCACCGTCACTCACTTTAGTAGCCATTTCATAGGCATCTGATTTTGTTTGCGATTTTATTGTCTGATGAGAAGTCTTGTAATCATTGTCTTCATCGCAGTCTTCCTCTTGTGTTGAATAATCCTTAGAATTAGTCGAATATATCGGATGTATAACTGAATTGTATTGAGTCTTTGGTTCGGTGTTTAGATTATAAGTATTTTGGTAATTATTTAAATCGGAATTTGAGTTATGATTGCTGTAAGAATTAGGGGATGAATTGTGGTTATAGGTATTTGTGGACATTGTTTGGGAATTATGCAAAGGAGTGATTGGTTGAAAATCAGAAGTATAGGATGTGGTGGACAATGAATGATAGCTGGGATTGTAATTGTTATACGAGTCACTTATGGGACTTATAGAAGAGCTTATGTACGGCTTTTGAGTTGCATAGTTGGTATCAAAGTTTGCCGGTTTACTGACAACAGGTCTGACAGTATAGGCATTAATTGGTTGAGTATAAGGAGCCGAATAAGAGGACCGATCATAGGGTCGGACGTATGAAACGGGAGAACGTGACTGAAAGTCAGGACTTTTATTAGAAGTTTCATATTCTTGATTGTAGTGATTATTATAGTATTTATTGTCGTTCTTATGGTTATTGTTATTATAATTATCGTCGGATTCAATAAATCTAAAGTCCATATTCTCATCATTGCTTTCCGCGTGATTTTGCAATGAATTAAAACCGTTTACACTCTTCTCTTGTCCTTTATTTCTATAAAAATCTTTATTATCAATGGAAGCGCTATTTGATGGATAATTTTTTGCACTATAGATCGGCTCTCTTCTAGTATCGGTGTTTCCATTGATTGCACCAACACTTCCATTGTCTGCATTTTCAGCCACTTTTTCATCATTTTGTTCATAACTTATGATATCTTTGTGTTTATTTACATCATAGCGTGTATTACCTGAATCGATATCGTGCACATTTTGTTTCCTGTCCTGTCCTTCTTGTCCCGTCCTCTCCTGTCTCAGTGGAAGAGGAGATCTCAAAAAAGTCATTTTGTCGCTCGAATCCAAGTATTGATTTGACGGCGAATTTGAGGCACTCGTAAAAGACGAGTGAGAATTGAATCGACTTTTTTGTGGACTCGAGTATTCAATACCACCGTTTGCTTCGGACATATGTGTCGGTTCTTCTCTTTGCTGCTGTTGTTTAACAAAAGTTTGCTCATCTCTTGAGTTGTATTGATTAGCCTTTTGCGGATAATTTTGAAAACGTTGTGTCGTATAATTGGGTTTAACTTCATAATGATTTGAATTATCATTTATTGGTTTAAACTTTCCGTTTGTTTGGGTTTCTGCATATTTTTTATTAATTTTTACCGCATTTTGTGTCAAAGAAGACGACAGTATTTCCAGAAGTGAATAACTTCATAATGATTTGAATTATCATTTATTGGTTTAAACTTTCCGTTTGTTTGGGTTTCTGCATATTTTTTATTAATTTTTACCGCATTTTGTGTCAAAGAAGACGACAGTATTTCCAGAAGTGATGGATATTTTGATGAAAGAGTATTCCGTATATATAGAGGAATGGCTACTATTGTTGGCTGAGAACCAGATTTTGAGGCAATTGTTAATAAGTTTTCAACGTTAGTATTGAGTGAACGTCTTTGACTGAAGGGAAGAGAAGTTGTCGGTAACTGCGGTAAAATGTTGACAAGTGATGGCTGGGGTTCAGACAATTGGTTTGTTTCACAAATATATACAAATAAACAAAAAATCGACAGAATCTGCAAAATAAATTCAATTTGCATTACAAGTGTTAAAATTATAATTATATAAAAAAGAATAAATAGAATTATTAACTTATAATATCCATAAAATTAAAAATAAAATAATAATAATTATAAGTTTGTTTTAAGATATATAGGAAAATGCATACCTTTTCAATCATTTTAAACAATTAATATGTTTTTCATAGAATCAACAAAACAAATATCAAAACTAAATCTTTTAAATTTTAAGCTTAAATAATAACTGTTTGTTAAACTTTTAACAAATGTGTTGAAAGGATAAAAAACATCATAACATATAGGGTTGAGAAAATAGAATCAACAAAACAAATATCAAAACTAAATCTTTTAAATTTTAAGCTTAAATAATAACTGTTTGTTAAACTTTTAACAAATGTGTTGAAAGGATAAAAAACATCATAACATATAGGGTTGAGAAGTGAGAAAAGAGTGCATCAACTCCTTTATTGCTTACATTATGTCCTCTTTATTTAGACTTATCCTCCAATCGTGTTATCGTAATTACTTTGGGATTCACTCTTTAATACATGAGATTATTCTTTTTAAATTAAGTCCATCGGCTAAACAGCGTTAATATTAGAGCTTAGATTAGGTCCAGGCATTGGCATTGGCCTACAAAACTTGAGATACAGCACAACAATTACATAATCAATTACACTTAAACATCTAGGTTAGACATGCAACTTT